CTTTTGTTTGAGTTGCTAGGTTACAATAAATTCCACCTCCATCGCTTATAAAATGGGGCTGTAAACTAAGGATTCCAATTTTTTTTTTTTTTTTTTTTTTTTTTTTTTAAGGAGGTGGGGTCTTACTATGTTGCCTGGGTTGGCCTTCAACTCCTGGGCTGAAGCCTCCTCTCACTTCAGCTTCCTTAGGCGTTGGAACTACTGGCATTTCCCAGTACACCAGGCTTATTTTTTTGAACTGATGATAAAATAGACATAAAATTTATTCTTGTAACCATTTTTAAGTGTATAATTCATGGCATTAGCCATTCTGTCTTTTAAAAATAAATTCTAACCCTGGAGTATTAATAAATGTGTTGACAGACAGGTTTTGTATTTTAGAGTACTGTAAAATAAGTATACTACAGATATGTCCTAAAGTTATTTTAAAAGATTTATTAGGACCCACTAGCCTATAAAATAGGTATAGCATATTTAAAATTAAAATGAGAAGAGTCTGGATTTGATTTGTTTTTGTCTTCAATGAGGGAATAATGCCTTTTGGTCCAGAAATCTGGCCACTTAAACCTTCTCTGTAGTAACCTTTTTTTTTTTTTTGCCCCATGAGAATTTCTTACCTTACACAGTGAAGATACATGAAGTTAAAAATAAATTTCTGGGCTGAGCATGGTGGCTCATGCTTGTATCTCATCACTTTAGGAGGCCACAGTGGGAGGATTGCTTCAATCCAGGAGTTTGAGATCAGCCTGGGCAATACAGCACGACCCCATCGCTACCGAAATTAATCTCTTCTGGTTTTAAGTTTATCCAATTTTCTTGAAAGCTCTTTTTTTCACCCTCATTAAGTAGGGTTTAGATCCCATCACAGAAAAGTACCATCTAAAAAAGATTAGCAGACTAGTAATCTGCTTATTCCCAGTTTTGTTGTGTTTTTTTTCTTTTGAGAGGGGATTTCATTCTTGTTGCCCAGGCTGGATTGCAGTGGTGTGATCTCGGCTCACGGCAGCTTCTGCCTCCTGGATTCAAGCAATTGTCCTGCCTCAGCCTCCCGAGTAGCTGAGATTACAGGCGCCCACCACCACGCCCAGGTAATTTTTGTATTTTTAGTAGAGACGGGGTTTCACCATGTTGGCCAGGTTGGTCTTGAATTCCTGACCTCAGGTGATCCGCCTGCCTCAGGCTCCCAAAGTGCTGGGATTACAGGTGTGAGCCACTGTGCCCAACCACCTTTTGGTTCTTAAACAATGTTTGTCTCATGCTTCTTGGTACCATGATTTTTGTAAGTACTGTATTATAATACGCATGACAATGACTGTCTTATCACAATGCCTTGTATGTAACATAAGCTCTCACTTAATTCATGTGTGTAATTTTATACCCTGAGAACATCTGATTGTCCACATCAGCCCTCTTTAGAGAATGGGGCTGTCTGGGGAATTAATTTTGTAGCCCAGGACTATTTGACATGATGGATATCTAACTACCATTACCTTCTTTCTACTTATTACAAAAACCTGTGCTTCCAGAAAAAAGCTTGACATCCATTTAAAGAATACTCAGTTTAAATGGGTAGTGTGCCTAAAAATGGAGTTTCAGGGCTTTATTCCCTGAACATCAGAAAACGTGTATTTCCTGTCATCTTCCAGGTGGGTGATGGCACCACCTCAGTGACCTTGCTGGCTGCAGAGTTTCTGAAGCAAGTGAAACCCTATGTGGAGGAAGGTTTACACCCCCAGATCATCATTCGAGCTTTCCGCACAGCCACCCAGCTGGTATGGGCAGTACTGATTAACCTTGCCTTGGGTCTGGGCACCTTCACATTTCTCTTAGGAAGGGGAATTTCTTTCCAGGAGTGTGGAGGGACTGGGGAACAGGGTACTTTGGGCATTTTCTGACATCTCCCTAGTAATCTCAGTTCTACTATTCTGTAGCCATTTGATGAGGTGTATTACTTAATCTTTTTAAGCCTCAGGTTAGAGTCAGCCTGGTAGACTATGATGTAGACATAGTCTTTTAGTAAGGACTAGTTTTTATCAAGTACCTCATGGTGTATATTGAGACCTAACTATTTGCCCTCTAACCTTCATTTGTGATCTGGGACAAGTCATTTAATCTTTCTAGGCCTTACTTTCTCTCTTTGCTATCTCTAATTTGAGTAGTGACATTAAAATGAAATAATATATGAGGAGTACTTTGGAAAAGATAAATAGTTTATATATTTGTAGCATGTTTTATGTATAACTAATATATAAAGTGGTAGAAGTTGTCATAGGTGTTTTTAGTAAACCAGGAGGTTTGGCTTAATCTCCTGTCACAGCTGTTTCCACTCATTTGTTGTAGTGTGTTACCTGCAGACCCAGAACAAAATCTTGGAAGCTCCCTGATTCTTCAGAACTGTATACCCACTCTGCATTTCTGACTTTTGGAATTTTCTGAACTATAGAGTTTTACATTTTTCTGAGCAGTTACAATACCTAGAAGTGTTGTTTCAGCTGTAAAGTACAAATGCTTAGGATTTGGGAGTAAACAGACTCGGGACTATTGAGAGATTGGGGTCCATTTCAGCAGTTCATCTTTGGCATGAGAAACTCATTCAACTTCTGTTCTTGGCAGGCGGTTAACAAGATCAAAGAGATTGCTGTGACTGTGAAGAAGGCAGATAAAGTGTAAGTCTGTAGTGGGCTTTTTTTTTTTTTTTTTTTTTTTTTTTAAAGAGACGTAGCCTTGCTATATTGCCCAGGCTGGTCTGGAACTATGGGGCTCAAGTAATCTCCCAACTCCGCCTCCCAAAGTGCTGGGATTACAGGTGCGAGTCACCGCGTCAGGCGCTTGTCAGAACCTTGACTGACTTCCTGTGGCCAAATTGGATGCAGAAGCATGCTACAGTTCTTCTATGTGCCTGGGGCTGTTTGGCTCATGCCGGACCCTTGGCTGTGTCCCAGGCCACAGAGCACAAAAGAAGCTGTCGACTGTAGTTTAAAAGCTGCCACATATGAGATCTTTGACTGCAGTCACCATCTGTCACTGATAATCTGCCCTAAAGATACAGAAGGTGAAGTTGGAGAGGGCTGAGTTTAGAGACTGGAAGGGAACTACCTCCACATGGTAATAGAATCAGATAAGAGGGATTTGGTTTTCAAGACCTGATGCAGATTCTACCCTTGTGTCCCAGGGAGCAGAGGAAGCTGCTGGAAAAGTGTGCCATGACCGCTCTGAGCTCCAAGCTGATCTCCCAGCAGAAAGCTTTCTTTGCTAAGATGGTGGTGGATGCAGTGATGATGCTCGATGATTTGCTGCAGCTTAAAATGATTGGAATCAAGAAGGTACAGGGTGGAGCCCTCGAGGTAAGCCTGCTGTGACCTTCCTAGACAGCTCTTGCTTTCATATTGACTCTTCAGACAGCTTCATATGGCAGAAGGGTACTCATTACAGGAGTAAAGAGAATGCATGTTAGGCAGGAAGTCAGACTTATATTGTACTTCCCGTACTGCCATTAGAGGCTGTGACTAGATAAACTTGGTAACCTCTGTGGATATTATTTGTCAGCAGAATAGAAAAATTGGACTGGATGATTTTCAGAATCTCAGGTTCTCTGTGTCAGTGGGTAGTTGGGGGGTAGTAGAACTAGCTCAAATAAATTATCAGTGACCTCCCAATTAATGCATCTGAGAGGGATTTTTCAGTTCACTGGTTTACTCCTAAGTGATACTGTTTTTTGTTTTTTTTTTTTTTGAGACGGAGTCTTGCTCTGTTGCCCAGGCTGGAGTGCAGTGGCCGGATCTCAGCTCACTGCAAGCTCCGCCTCCCGGGTTCACGCCATTCTCCTGCCTCAGCCTCCCGAGTAGCTGGGACTACAGGCGTCCGCCACATCGCCCGGCTAGTTTTTTTTGTTATTTTTTAGTAGAGATGGGGTTTCACCATGTTAGCCAGGATGGTCTCGATCTCCTGACCTCGTGATCCACCCGTCTCGGCCTCCCAAAGTGCTGGGATTACAGGCTTGAGCCACCGCGCCCGGCCCAGTGATACTGTTAAGCTTGCCCTTCTTTCATTCATTTATCTTGAGTAGGGATACATATTTCAAACTGTGAAGGGGCCTAAAGTGTTTCATGCGCTACCCCTGCCCCATATACCGCCACTATTAGTTTGTGTGTATCCTTGCAGAATTACTTTGTGCATATATGAGCTTGTATGTAAATACTGTTTTTTAAAGACAAAAGATTGCTTATAAAGTGTTCTGTAGCTTGCTTTTGTCCATTTAACAGCATACTCTAGAAACTGATCCATATTAACATGTGTAGCTCTTAACTCAGCACCCTCCAGTAGAGCTTTCTGTAGGGTGGTGGGACTGTTACATATCTGCACTGTCCAATATGATAGCCCTATCCACACTTGGCTACTGAGCACCTGAAATGCAACTAATGTAACTGAGGAACTGAATCTTAATTTTATTTCAATTTAAATGGCAACACGTAGCTAGTGGCTACTGTCTTGGACAGCAGAACTCCTCCTTTTTAACACAGCAGTGTCTGTCTGGAAACGTCCTTGGTATCTCCACGCTACTTTTGGCCTTTGCAGTCTCTGGCCTCCTGTACTTATTTCTCGTCGTCAGTGACCTCAACTGAAGCGATTTGGGTAGAGGAGGACCAGCTTGAAAGATAGCCTGGCCCTTCTCTTTAAATTTTACCCTCCCAAATTGCATTCCCACTTTGCCATTTCCCCTCCTATTGTGGCACATGTCAGACCAGTGGGCTGAGATTCTCTGTATATAATAAAACCGTGAGGAACCTGGAGGTCATCTGAGCCATTTCCCTGTCTTCATCATGGCTTGCTGTCTTTACTGACTGCTTTAGTAGCAATTTTTCATCTTCTCTTGGGCCTTCCTACTTCCATAAATGCTTGAGATTAGATTGGCATCCACTAAACTAGAAATTAGGACTAATAATCTTACCTGGCAAGAAAGCCAGGGACTCTAAGCCACACTTGTGTTTTTCCCAGACTGTCCTACATTCGTTAAATACATAGAAACCTGACCCAGAATTCAATAAATAGTGGTAGTGATTATTTACTTGTTACCAGGGTTAACTGAGAATTTCCTGATCCATATCTTTAGTCCTCACCTCTCCTCTGAGTCTCATGCTCTTGTATCTAACTGCTATTAAACGCTTTATCTTGTCCTCCAGTCCTGTGATAGCATTTTTTGTATTTCCTGTCGTAGTTGGTGTCACCACCGTTTATTCAAACTAGGAATCTGGGATCATCCTTGAAAACCCTTCTGACTCCAACCTGTCAATTACCATTGTTCCATTTTCCTTGTGATTTCCTAATTATTTCTTGAGTCTGTCTCTTTTACTCTTTCCTGGGACCATTGCCACCCCTCTTCCAGTTTTGGATCCCCTAAATCCATTGTACTTATTTACTGTTTGCAAGGTGAAGTCTCCTACTTTATTTCTCTGCGTAAAGCCTTCTGACGTCTGCACTCCCTATACAAAGCCAGGCATTAACAGAGCCTGTAAGACCCTTCTAAACTGGCCCCTGCCTGCTTCTCCTCTCTCTCCCTTACTGGCTGGTTCTTTAAATTCTAGCAACTTCAAATGGCTTTTCATTCCCTGATTCCACAGCACTGCCTCCCACCTCTTAAGAGCACTCGTTTTTTCCTTTTTTCTGTTTAACTAATTTCTGCTTATCCATCATTCAGCTCAGGCATCACTCCCTTTAGGAAGCTGTGGATTTGAATGATGCAGGAATTGGGGACAGATACTCTTCACCCATGGGTTACAGGATTATAGATTAGAATTGTAGATGAGCACTGGCAGAGAACCTAAAGGTTATTGAACTGAATACCCTTTTTTATGGTGTGGGAAGTGACTCGGTCATTTAGTAAGGAAAGGATCTGACATTGGAACCTAAGTCTCATGGTAGTGCTGAGTCAGCCCTGAGTGCAGTGTGCTTTCTATTATGCCCTGCTGTTAAATCCAACCCACAGAGAAGCTCTGTTGTGGAACAAGTGGTAGAAGATCCTAACTTGAGGGATTGAGGTCTGAGGAGCTGCAGTGATAGCTTAGAAATTACAGGGGGGATTTCTGATTCTTATGACCTTTTGGCTTCATCTTCTGGAGGGAGGAAGCGTCAAGGCTGTAGTATCCATGCTATTGGGGGTATGGAGGTGGAGGGTGCAGTGCAAGTTACGGGTACATGGAGGTGTGCAGGAGGAGACTTGAGATTTGGGAGTTGGGGCATAGAAGCGGGTAGCATTGCACGACTTTTGCCTTCTTTGTAAACACCTGGCTTCTCTTCTGGCATGCTTTATGGAAGTTTGTAGAGCATTCTTCATTGGCCAGTGCTGCAGAAGTCAGTCTTAGAGGACAGCCCAGTAGGCCTTTACCATGCTTTGCCTCTGCTAACCAGATGATTTTCCTTAATGCTAAAGGGATAACTGAAATAATATGTTGTGGTGTTTAAAAAAAAAAAAAAGATTTGTCTCCGATTTTATGATAACAGAAAGGCTGTGTTACAACAGTGAAATAAAGACATCATTAGCTCAGGTTCACAGGAATGGATAAGCACTAACCAGCAAAAAAGTAGCTTGATTTTATTTCATACTAGTACCAAACTGTTAAATTGTTTGTTTTTTTAAAACAGGATTCTCAGCTGGTAGCTGGTGTTGCATTCAAGAAGACTTTCTCTTACGCTGGGTTTGAAATGCAACCCAAAAAGTACCACAATCCTAAGATCGCCCTTTTGAATGTCGAGCTCGAGTTGAAAGCTGAGAAGGACAATGCTGAGATAAGAGTCCACACAGTTGAGGTAGGTGGGTTCACCAGTTGGTGGGGGCATGGAAATGGACAGCTTTCTGAGCCAGAGACCTGGGTCTTCATGGCTGTTGTGGGCCCCTTTCTCTTCCTGCCCCCCTGAATATTGATATCTAAGTACTAGGCCCCCTTCTTTCCATACTCTATATTCTCCCTGAGTGACCTTGACCTGAGGAAATTTGGATAGGGCAGACCTGTTGAAATATGCTCTGGTCCTGGGGAAGGGGTTGGCAGGGCCTCTATAGCTACATAGCCTGCCCGGTATTTTGGTTCCTCTTGTTGGTGCAGGTGTGAGTTCCTCCACTTCTAGACTAGACCTAGTGCTGCAGAGACAGGTGTGCTCTCATTGTTGATGTTACCCAGGCTACCTCTGGAGGTAGCCGTGTCACCCATCTTTGAGCAGTTCTTGGGGAAGGGGTCTTTTTTTTTCCTTCAAGATGGAGTCTCACTCTGTCGCCCAGGCTGGAGTGCAGTGGTGCAATCTCAGCTCATTGTAACCTCTGCCTGCTGGGTTCAAGCAATTCCCCTGCCTCAGCCTCCTGAGTAGCTGGGATTACAGGTATGTGCCACCACGCCCAGCTAATTTTTTTTGTATTTTTAGTAGAGACAGGGTTTCACCATGTAGGCCAGGCTGGTCTTGAACTCCTGACCTCAGGTGAGCCACCCGCCTCAGCCTCCCAAAGTGCTGTGATTACAGGCATGAGCCACTGTGCCCAACCAAAGGGGTCTTATTGGGAACTCCATGAATCCAGCACCTCAGAAGAGGCTAGACCTCAGCCAGGTTCAATTATTTCTCACATCTTGACAGCACTAGCTCTGGTTCTCAGCCTTGGGGTTACTTTCTGTTTTTGTGTTGGGGAGTTTCAGGTGATTCGTAAGTCATCTTATGGGGTCCTTGTTTGCTTGGACTGAGGAGTGGCTATTCTGTTTATCTCTGTTAATTCCCAGATAAATCAGCATGTTTTATTTGGTGGGGGCGGGTGGGTGTATTTTACCTTACCATATATGTCAACCTTCACCCCAAAGCATTCTCATCCTTTTCTGGGTCTCTCCAGGATTATCAGGCAATTGTTGATGCTGAGTGGAACATTCTCTATGACAAGTTAGAGAAGATCCATCATTCTGGAGCCAAAGTTGTCTTGTCCAAACTCCCCATTGGGGATGTGGCCACCCAGTACTTTGCTGACAGGGACATGTTCTGTGCTGGCCGAGTACCTGAGGAGGATCTGAAGAGGACAATGATGGTAACCAGATTTTCACAGGCTGCTTCTTGGCCTTTGTGGCCCTGAAGGGTTTTCACTGACCCCTGGTATAACAGATAGTGTACTGTCAGGTTGGCATGTGAATTGAGCCCTGTTTTTTTTTTTTTTAAACTCTCTTTTTTTCCCAGGAAGCACTCCATTTCCGTGTGTGTGTGCCCAGTGGCACAAACTACTACAGTCTAACCAAAACAAGTCCAGAAATCTGGTTTGTGAGAGAACCTAGCAGTAATGCTATGATTAGCTGGACAAACTCAAATATGGATTCTTCTAGCCAGATTTCTTCCCTTTCATGAGCATCCCACAAACGTATCGATACTTTTAGGTTTAAAGTACTCCTGAGTTCAGGTGCTGGACCCAGTGCCACCCTAGTTTAGGGGAGGGAGTATAAGCTGAATCGAATGGGTCCTTATCTCCTTTTTAACTTCTCCTGTTTGCCCTTGATGTGTTTTAGTTCTGTTTTGGTTTTTTGCTCTTTCAGAGGTGGGGAAGGGTCGCCTGGAAGTCAAGGGAAAGGGCGGGTAATGCAGAGGCATGGGAATTGGCCTTGAGACGAGGTGGCAGGAAGCTACCTGGCCTCGGGAACCTTCACTGCTAGATCTTGCCTTCCTTGCTCCCTAGGCGTGTGGAGGCTCAATCCAGACCAGTGTGAATGCTCTGTCAGCAGATGTACTGGGTCGATGCCAGGTGTTTGAAGAGACCCAGATTGGAGGCGAGAGGTGAGCCGTGGGCCCAGGCCGAGCTCACAACCCGCCTGGATCTGATCTTCTGCCATCTTTTGGCTGTGGTATACAGGTTTTACAGAGTCTCACCTTTGAGCCATAAAGAGCTCAGATAATGTACAGCATTACAGGAAGATCTAAAGCCTTGACTCCACAATCTTCTATGACCTGGTGGTACAGTTGTAGACCTTTCCAAGAAAGCGTCTGTAAGGTTGGGATTGGGTAACCTGAGTGAAGAATGTAAGAGCAGCTGCTGAGTGTTGGGAGGGCTGGCAGTGAGGGCAATACAGTAGGACGGTGGCAGACAAGAGTTCATGTGTGTACTATTTAATCCTGGGCATAGGTACAATTTTTTTACTGGCTGCCCCAAGGCCAAGACATGTACCTTCATCCTCCGTGGTGGTGCCGAGCAGTTTATGGAGGAGACAGAGCGGTCCCTGCATGATGCCATCATGATCGTCAGGAGGGCCATCAAGGTACGGGGCTGATGGCCACCTGCCTGCACAGCCTACTCTCATCTCCCTAGCTGATCAGACCTTGGATTTGTGTGGTGATTCCTTCTCTATATAACCTGCCCTTTCCTGGGTGGTGTGGTGAGCCCTGATTTGCCCCACAAATGGTAGAGAAACTGAGCCTCCGTTTCTCAAAAATAGGTCATCCTGCCTTGAAAGCTAAGACTTGTTCTTTTAGCCAGGTGTGGTAGCTCACACCTGTAATCCCAACACTTTGGAAGGCCGAGGTGGGAGGGTTGCTTGAGGCCAAGAGTTTGGCACCAGCCTGGGCAACATAGCGAGACCCTGTCTCTACAGAAAAAAAAAATTAGCCAGGAATGGTGGTATGTGCCTGTAGTCAGTCCCCGCTACTTGGGAGGCTAAGGTGGAAAGATCCCTTGAGCCCAGGAGTTGGTGGCTACAATGAGCTATGATCACACCACAGCACTCCAGCCTGGGCAACAGAGCAAGCAGAAGAAACACTTGATTTTGTTAGCAAACTGTGGAGCTAATGTAGTCAGGTATTCCAGTAATTGTGCCAGTGTCCTTGAGCTGCAGGTGACCTTGAAAATAGAAACCATAAGGTTCAGGTTGAAGTTGGGATGTTCTAGATAGGGGCTATGTCTGGGCTTTTGGGGCTTGGGATGGAGGAAGGAATGAAGAACCACTCTTTCTGGGCTGAAGGGACCTACTGAGTGGCCCCGCATGGAAGTTTGGACCAGGGGCCTTCTTCCATTGAGAGGTCTGATCTCTGCAGAATGATTCAGTGGTGGCTGGTGGCGGGGCCATTGAGATGGAGCTCTCCAAGTACCTGCGGGATTACTCAAGGACTATTCCAGGAAAACAGCAGCTGTTGATTGGGGCGTATGCCAAGGCCTTGGAGATTATCCCACGCCAGCTGTGTGACAATGCTGGCTTTGATGCCACAAACATTCTCAACAAACTGCGGGCTCGGCATGCCCAGGTGGGTCCTTTTTCTCCCCAGGGTTCCGGGTTTGGGCAGGTGGGCTGGGTTCTGAATGTGAGCTGTGCTTACTCAAGCTGTTCACGCTTAGCCCAGGAGATAGGCTGCAACTCCACCCAGCCTGTCTACCTGACCACCTGCCTCCTCTGAGGGCAGAAGGAAAGCCATGGTGCTAGCACTGGAGATCCAGGGTTTCTTCATTGCTTCTACCAAGAATATGATTGTGGCTGGGCGCGGTGGCTCACGTCTGTAATCCCAGCACTTTGGGAGGCTGAGGTGGGTGGATCATGAGGTCAGAAGTTCGAGACCAGCCTGGCCAACATAGTGAAACCCTGTCTCTACTAAAAATACAAAAATTAGCCAGTTGTGGTGGTGGGCACCTGTAATCCCAGCTACTTGGGAGGCTGAGGCAGGAGAATCGTTTGAACCCAGCAGGCAGAGGTTGCAGCGAGCATAGATCGTGCCATTGCACTCCAGCCCGGGTGATAGTGCGAGACTCTGTCTCAAAAAAAAAAAGGAAAAAAAAAAAAAAAATAGTATGATGCTCCTCATGGTACCACAGGAGGAACCTTGCATCCACCTTCCTGGAAGCACACGCTGACTACATGGAGTGGGCTTATCAGTGTGGTGAAGCCCTCCAGAGCCCTCCAAGTGTGACCCTCGGTTAGTTACTTCAACCTCTCTGAGAGTTTAATTTCTTGGTTTGTTAAATAGATGTAGGTTTGTTAAGTGCTCAGCATCCAGTGAATGACCCTGCTTCTGGCTTGTATTAGGACTTTTGCTTAAAGTGACTTTATCTCTGTATCTCACTTGCCTCATCTGTAAAATTGGGCTATTTGAAGCAATGAGATGAGAGATTGAATAGTATTTTTGTCATTCTTGTTTATCTTGGGAACTCATTGTTTGATAGATATATAGTCCTCAGGTGACCTGAGGATGGGGCTACCCCGAAACACAACAGCTTGCCTGGGAGAAGATCCCAGAGGTCTTGTGTGGTATGTCCAGGGTTAAAGGGAGGAGTTGGCGGGAGTAGGGATGTTTCCAGGTTCCTGACATGCTGCCATAGGAAGATGCAGTATTCTTCAGCAAAATGCCACCAAGTTGAGAGAGTCTGTGGGTTCCTAGCAGTGTCTTTTGGAGTACCAGTTTACAAGAGGAAAGTTGAAAGCAGTTTCATATTACCTCCTTTCTTTTCCTACTCTTTCAGGGGGGCACGTGGTATGGGGTGGACATCAACAACGAGGACATTGCTGACAACTTTGAGGCCTTCGTGTGGGAGCCAGCTATGGTGCGGATCAATGCGTTGACAGCAGCCTCTGAGGCTGCGTGCCTGATCGTGTCTGTAGATGAAACCATCAAGAACCCCCGCTCAACTGTGGATGCTCCCCCAGCAGCAGGCCGGGGCCGTGGTCGTGGCCGCCCGCACTGAGAGGTACCCCACCTGTCACATGACTGGCTGGCTGCTGGGTGCACCTACTCTCCTTGGCTTGGTTACTTCATTTTACAAGGAAGGGGTAGTAATTGGCCCACTCTCTTCTCACTGGAGGCTATTTAAATAAAATGTAAGACTTCGGATAACTTTGTAAATTATTTTGGCACAGTACTCATAAATGTCTGGCTGTAGCTCCAAATTTTAGCTTTACGTGCACTTGTCCAACAGGGAGACAAGAGCATTCTGGGGTCAGCTCCACTAGAGTGGCCCCTGTCTGGAAGTTTCACTGTGGTTGCATTCTTCGTTCCAGAAGTGGCTGGACAACATGCAGTTGCTTTCTTCTAGCATCATCGTATTAGCCCTGGCCTAGCCAGGCACTGCTCCCAGGGTTTCTCTGGTTTGAGTGAATGGGTTATATTACCTTGTCTGCCCTTCTATCTCCATATTCTTTTGGTTTAGTCTTTTGTTCCCTCTTACTCAAGACTGTGAGAAGGGTGTTTTAGGGAGGGTCTCATGCTCTCTAAACTCTAGTGATCCCTTGGAAGTCGTCTAAGGAGATGACTGAAAGCACCCCCCTGGTCTTTTCAGTTTGGCCCCCAGTGATCTTGGTTGTTTTGCTTTCTTGTGACCAATGGGAGTTTGGAATGGCTGGCACAGATGAGCTGGAAATCCAGCAGTGTCTAACATCCTCCTCATTTACACTGGTCCTGATAGCTGGCCTGCACCCTTCTGTAGTTGGTCGTTGTTAAAGCTGGAGGTAAATATGATGTCATTGTCAGCCATTGAGACTTGCTAGCTAAAACTGGAAAGGGATTTTTTAAAAAAAATTATCTGAACCCAGTCACTCCTGGTTAGATGGACCCAAAAGCACAGAGGGTGGTGGGCAGGTCCAGGCTTTGGAATCGGGCATTCCTCCTAACTTGATGGTCTTTGGGTAGACTAATTTTTCTGAGCCTCTGCTATTCTACCTGTATGACAGGGTAAGAGTAGCTGTCTCAAAGAGTAATGAGACTTAAATGTTCATTTTACTTGATGTTAAGGACACAATTTAAGCCTAAAACACTTACTCTTTTTTCTGATTGTAAATATTTCGAGACCCTAGGAATCAAGTCAGTGGCACAAGGGCATTTTGGATGAGGAAGTCAAGGCCAGACCATGATGGCAACCTGATCTCCCACAGTCAAAGCCTGATTGGCCAGAGCCTCCTGAGGAGGCAGCCAATCCAGGGAGGGGATGGGCAGTGCCTGCTGCCCTGTTGTACTGGTGCTGAATTTGCCCTTGAAGGTAGTCTCCCAGCTGAGAGTCAGAAATGATGTATCTCAAGGCATTTCCTCTGGATGCACACACTGAAAGCAGGGTTGAGCGGTGGCAGGACAGTAACCCTAGGTGGCTTTTCTGCAGTCCTAAGGCAAGTTTTTGTTGTTTCTGAGACAGGGCCTCACTCGGTTACCTAAGCTGAAGTGTACAGTGGCGTGATCTCAGCTCACTGTAACCTCCACCTCCCTGGCTCGATATCCTCCCACCTCAGCCTTCCAAGTAGCTAGCACTGCAGGCACATGCCCAGCTAATTTTTCAATTGGGTTTCACTATGTTGCCCAGAGTAGTCTCGAATTCCTGGGCTCAAGCAATTCTCCCACCTCAGTCTCCCAAAAGTCTCCCAAAGTGCTAGGATTACAGGTGTGAGCAACTGTGCCCGCTGGCAAGTCTTGCTAATACTTCATTCCACTGGGTTACCTGCCTTTGTACACTTGAGCTGCAGAAAGACCATGATAACACAGATGACCAAGTGTGGCCACAATACCATTTACTTCTCTGGGGCAGATATACCAGTTTCACCATCTTTTTTATTGGATACAGAGCCATAAATTCTCTGATGCCCATGTGAGTCCTTTTAAATACATACACTCAGGTACATTCAGCAAAGGGCATCTTATGGGTGACATGGAGCAAAGTGCTGGGATGGCGATGCCTGGGTGGGGCAGAGAAGTGTGGCCAGGAAAGGCCCCCTGGGGGCTGGAGGTACAGGCACCACTTCAGAAACAAAAATAAAACCAAAAATTGCTTTCCACCCCTCTGCCTATGCTTGGGGCTGGGGAAGCTACCCTCTCACGCTCAGGCCCATTATAGCCTAGCTGTGCGGGAAGGCAGGGCCTAAGGGCCAGTTATGGAGGTCACCCACCAGTGGTGCCCACTAGAACCAAGCCTGCTGGCATCAGCCACAAGGCAAGCCTGGGTCACCTCAGGCCTCTGCCCTGGATACAAGACCCTTGCCAGGGCAGAGCTGAGGCTGGCAAGCCCAAGGCCAAGCCTCCCTTGGCCCACGCTGGCAGTGGCAGAGGAGGCTTAGTCTCATGGTGGGGAGCCTGCCTGATTGTCAGGGCAGCCTTGGGACTGGCTGAGGTCCCAAGGGGTTGGGGAGGGAGTCGTTGCCTTAGCTGGCCCTGGTATTCTGATCTTTACCCAATCCTAAACCTTATCCTCAGGCAAGGGCTGCAGATGAACACACTTGTCCAGGAATACATACATACACACAATACACAGCAATATATACAGAAATGCAGGCCGGGCACAAGGCTGGGTGAGAAAGCATGGCCACTAGGGTAGAGAGAAGGACCAGGCCCCCAGGGGAAGGAAGTTACACTCATCAGGGACTGACAGGCTGGGACATGTCCCATGGGTTCGAGTTAACTTCTCTGGGCACTTGGGCCATATACCCACTCACTATCTCTCCTGTTTTTACCCCAAGTCCAACAGGAACTGGGACTTTGGCACCAATAGTCACTCTGGGAAGGCCTCCTTCAACTTAGCGCCTTAGAGGGATTGGGGCCCAGGTGACTCCCCACCTGTGGCCCCAAAGATTAGAGACCAGGACCAGGGTAATAGGCAGGACCCAAAGGCAAGGGATGGAGCCAAACCTTGGAGTAGGAGGCCTTGGGAAGGAGGCCCTTTTTTTTTTTTTTTTTTTCCCCCCTTTCGAGGCAATTCCTGAGGGGCTGGCTCAGACTCGAGTGTCACAGGACCAAGAAAACAGGAGCTGCCTTGATCCTTAGGTGGTCTCTCCTGGCTGGGGAAAGGCCGTGGTGCTGGGCAGCCCACCCACTCTTTATTCCCGCAGGGATGCATGTAAGTGCATCTTCATTTCCTGTCGGTGCTGTGGCGAAGCAGCCTAAATAAAGCATGAAGTACTTAAGCCAAGTACACCAACCTCCCAGGTAGGCACTGGAGCCAGACTGGATGGCAGGGGGTGGTAGAAACACCAAGTGGCCACCCCCACTGGGCCTCTACACATACCTGGGTCCCTTGGAGCAGCGCTGCTTGCTCTCAGATACTCCTTTCTTGCATCTTACTGGGTATGAGATGTGGAGGGATCCCTTTGGGTGGGTAAAGATGGATGAAATGCTTCTGGGGATAGCCAGGCCCTCTGTCCTTGTTCCCATCCTCAGCCCTAGCTGTATGGTTGCCAAAGAAATCAATGCATAGAGCCTCCCAGCAAGCAAAAGCTCCCTACTCAGCAGCAGGGCTCATCCAAGGAGAGAACAAAAGAAGAGCGTCAAGGGGCTGGTGGGGCAGGGGCTGCAAAGCTGCCAGTGCTGAGGCATGCATGAAGGCTGGGGGGCACAAGTCTGTCAGCCCGGGGGTGCGTGTGCAGTGGGATACTCTGACCTCTCATTCCTGCTGCAAAGGATTGGGCCTGCTCACACATATCCTTCACACACAGCCAGAACAAGGTGGAGGACTGAGGGGCTTTCCTGGAAATAGCCAAACCCGTGGGAAGTGGACGTCCCCCAGGCAGAAGGGTATCTTGTTCACCCCTCTGCCTCCAGTGCTGGTGGTGCTCGGTACTGTTGCACGAATGAATGAATGAGTGAAACGGCAACTAGCGTTCCTGGCCTTTCAGCACCACCTTTCTCCCCCCTAGCTCGCTGCCCATATGCCCCAACCTCCTTTCCCAGGGCTAATGCCAGGCATTCTAGTGTGTACCACCCGGAGAGAAGTTGCCCAGAGCCTTGTATTCAGGGATGGAAGGTCCCTGGGACAGAGAAAATCCCTCAGTTGGGCAGGCTGAAGCCAAGCAGGGCATCCCTTTGTGCTTTGTCCAGGAGACAGGGAAGGCAGCACCTCTGGTTCTGGGGTCACAGGGAGCAGGAGCTGCAGGGTGCAGTTGGCAAGGCAGGACCAACAAATCCAAGGTATCCAGGCCCTTAGTGGGCCTCCACCTCCCTTCCAGGCCTCTGGAGGAGAGGAAAGCAAGCTGTGCTGCTTTTTCCTGACCCCTGAGGACAGGGCTGGTGCAGGGAGAAGCCAATGGAGCCAGCTGCTCTGGGGTAGGGGCAGGGGGTGTCACACACAGCCAAGGCTTCGTGCAGGACTGGGCAGGGAGTTGCCAGCATGACACCCTTGGTATTTTAGATTTTCAAAGGGCAGGGACAGAACAAGCCACAGGAGGAAAAGTCAACAATGATAGCAAGATCTGGGACAGAGCTAGGGAGTGACGCCATGGGAGCTGGGTGTGCTGCTGTGTCCGTGGGGTCCCAGCTCTGGAGGACTCTTTACAAGGTAACCGAGGGCTGGGTCTTCATGTCCAAGCCAGGTTGCGTTAGGGAGTTGGGTTCCTGGGAAGGACTGGGTAACGAGGGGACCCCATCCCCAGCCAGGACCAGCAGCCTAATGGCTAGGGCTGGGAGCTGATCCTATCTAGGAGAGAAAGAAATCCTAAGATAGATCTAGTTTAGATGTTTGAAAGAACTTTCCAAATGAAAGTTGGTAGGACCCCCGGCCTCTGAGCCACTATGGGAGTTCTGAGAGGAGGAACTGGGGAGACCTCAAGCCTTTGGAGCCTTGGTTCTGAGACCTGATCCTTTGGGGACTGCAAAGGCCAGTGAAAAGCCCCACTGGAATCCTGTGGCTTCTAAGCCAAGTGGCTCCAGCCCAGGTCCAGCACTTCCCCTAGGCAGAAGACCCCAATGCAGCCCTCAGCCCATGGGGCCCGTGGAGACCGAGGAAGGGGGAGTGAGTCTGTTGAGGATGCTCTTCCTCTTCCTTGGCCCCATGGGTCTGGCTCCCTGCCAAGGCTACATCTTCAAGCAAGCTAATTAGACAAGGAAGCAAAGCAAGCCACCCTCCTCCTGGCGTCCTCCACGGC